ATTACTTTTGTTCCCTTAACAAGTGGGAGGCACATATGCAAACTGTCGTAATTCCTACACCGTTCACCTGATTTGGATGTAAATACCCTCAAATTAAAGCTGACATTCTGCAGTTAAAGCACATCTTGTTTGTTTCATTTTAAATCCATTGTGGTGGTGTATAGAGCCCAAAATGTTAGAATTGTGTTGATGTCCCAATATTTTTGGACCTGACTGTACCATCAAACATTTGACATCAGTTGACCTAAGTGGGAATCCAGCGGCATGCTTTCTGCACCTAACGTAGAGACCCATCTGGAAATACAATGACTTATTATGCATCTGGCAAATGCAGCTACAGCTTGCATCCCTTCGCTCTGGAGGCAGACACAGCCAACAACAAAGGTCCTGTGGTATGCTAAAGTCAATGATATCTTACATATGGAGGAACTAACTGCCCCACCCCAAACAATACCGAGGAAGCTTTCAAGGAGTGTTGGAGGCCCTGGAGATATTTCACCTGCGCAGATGGTTATTTGCAGACTGTGTCCCAATCTGAGTTGGTTGCTGGCCAAGCCACCCGTTAGTCGCTTTTCCCTGCTCCCTGGAGGGTGACCCCCTGGTTTCCTATTCTAACATTCCTCCCCCCTTTTCTCTCCTCTCTCCTCCCCTTTTCTCCTATCTTCCTCACACCTTCTTGCCCATCCCACCCTTTCTTTTAAACTGGCTACTCTCTTTACCGAGGAGTTTACTGACCATTTCTCCTGTATGAGATAATGATGTGCTATTGCTAATCGTGCACTTCAGTTTTTTATCTGAATCTAAATTGTATTTCTCCGCTTTTCTTTTCTTGTGTTTATATGTACTTATTCTATGACAAGAAGATTATATTATCTACCTAAATTAGGTTGACCACTGATTTTAGATATGCCTAGTTAGTTCTGATTCAGATTCACCAGTTTTGGTATTGCAGAGGAAAGCCTTGGTTTGCTTTTTCTATTTTATTTTTGATTGGTTCTACATTCTGTAAAACTATTCCTTCAACTGTTTTTCTATGTATTGGCTCAATATAACATTGACACAATAATTATAGCTTTTTGGAGTAATGTGTATGGCTATGGTCTACCATGTTAGTGTTCAATCCTGTGTAGCATGTATAGCCATCAATAAAGACAAGAAAAAAACCCCCAAAAATTATTGCTTTTACAGTGATTGTCACTGAAATAAGCGATTACAGTGTAAAAAAAAAATCCAGATCACCTTCCCACACCTTCCCAGAGTAGTATATTGTCACTGTGGTTAAAGTGGTGCTAAAGTCTTAAGGCTTTTTAACTTAATGCATTCTATGCATTAAGGTAAAAAACCTTCTGTGCTGCAGTTTTTACCCCAGCTTCCCCTCCTTATTCTTACCTGAGCCTGATCCAGGGATGTTCACGAGAGCAGCGGTGTCTCCCACCGCACTGGGCAGATTGATAGCAGTGGGAGCCAATGCTGTGATGAGGGAGTTAGGACCGGGACAGGACAGCACGGGAGAGACCCCGCTCGGGTGCCCCCATGGAAAGTAGCTTTCCATGGGGCACTCGCCAAAGAGAAGGAGCCTGGAGCACCAGTGGGGGACCCAAGAAGAGGAGGATCAGGGCTTCTCTGTGCAAACCCATTGCACAGAGAAGGTAAGAATACCACGTTTATTATTTTAATAAAAAAAATTAAGGTTTTTATTGTTACCTTAAGGCCCCTAGAAAGCCCAAAGGCGGTTCTTAGGATTTGGGACCCATCTATGCATCTAGGCTGTGAAAAAGTCTCACATGTGGTATCACCATACTCGGGAGGCATAGCAGAATTTGTTTTCATGTGTAATTGTAAGTATGCCTAAGCTGTGTGTGAGACATAACTTGTTAAAATTACAACTTTTTTACATATCTTTATTTTCCCAAAGAATTGTGACAAAAAAATTACAATTTCAAAAAATCACCATACCTCTTACTAAATACAATCAACTGTCTACTTTCCTAAAAGGAGTAATTTTGGGAGTATTTGTACTCTTCTAGCATTTTAGGGCCCCAAGAAATGAGTCAGTACATCAGGAATGATCAATTTTCAAATATATACAGTTGTGTTCAAAATAATAGCAGTCAGACATCACTAACCTGATCAATCACTGTTTTTGGTAGAAATTACATTTCTACATGGCAAATAATTTACTAGCAGGTGTAGAGTAATAGGAATCTAACAGACCCAGCAGTCATGACATGCTTGCTGCTGATTCTGTGTAATTGAATCACTAATTGAAAGGGGCATATTCAAAATAATAGCAGTGTGGAGTTCTATTAGTGAGGTCATTCATTCTTTGAAAAACAGGTGGCAATTATTGCCCTTATTTAAGGAAGGAAGGCAGAAATGTTGTACATGCTGGTTACAGTGCATTTCTCTCTGAAATTCTGAGGAAAATGGGTTGTTCCAGACATTGTTCAGAAGAACAGCGTTCCTTGATTAAAAAGTTGATTGGAGAGGGGAAAACATATAAAGAAGTGCAAAAAATGATAGGCTGCTCAGCTAAAATGATCGCAAATGCTTTAAAATGGCAACCAAAACCTGAAAGACGTGGAAGAAAGGGAAAAAAAAACTACCATTCGAATGGATAGAAGAATAGCCAAAATGGCAAGGACTCAGCCAACAATCAGCTCCAGGAAGATCAAAGAAGGTGTAAAGTTACCTGTGAGTACTGTTACAATTAGAAGACGCCTATGTGAAGCCAAGCTATCTGCAAGAAGCCCCCGCAAAGTCCCACTGTTGAAAAAAAGACGTGCTGAAGAGGTTACAACTTGCCAAAGAGCACATTGACTGGCCTAAAGAGAAATGCGCAACATTTTGTGGACTGATGAAAGTAAGATTGTTGTTTTTGGGTCTAGTGGCCGGAGACAGTTTGTCAGACGATCCCCAAACACTGAATTCAAGTCACAGTACACTGTGAAGACAGTGAAGCATGGTTGCGCAAGCATCATGATATGGGGATGTTTCTCATACTACGGTGTTGGGCCTATTTATCGCATACCAGGGATCATGGATCAGTTTGAATACATCAGAATACTTGAAGAGGTCATGCTGCCTTATGCTGAAGAGGAAATGCCCTTGAAATGGGTGTTCCAACAAGACAACGACCCCAAACACACCAGTAAATGTGCAACATCTTGGTTCCAGACCAACAAGATTGACGTTATGGAGTGGCCAGCCCAATCCCCGGATCTTAATCCAACAGAAAACTTGTGGGGTGACATCAAAAATGCAAAACCAAGAAATAGAGAAGAACTGTGGAATGTAGTCCAATCATCCTGGGCTGGAATACCTGTTCACAGGTGCCAGAAGTTGGTTGACTCCATGCAACACAGATGTACAGCAGTTCTCAGAAACAGTGCTTATACAACTAAATATTCATTAAGTGATTCAAAGGAAAGCAAAATCTTCAAACATTTTTCAGTTTATATAGTGAATGTTTGAGTTTGTAAAGAAGAATACAAACACTGCTATTTTTTTGAACAGTCTAATATTCACTTTTCTTCAATTTTTTTTAGAGGAACAACACAAATTTGATATATTTTTCTTCATGTTTTGATTTGGAATAGAATGTGTAGTGTTCCCAATGCATTTGTGTGTATGGAAATAAAAGCTATTGGAAGGATTTTGTGCTTTATTCACTTTTTTCAACACACTGCTATTATTTTGAACACAACTGTATATACCATAGCTTGTAAACTCTATAACTTTCACACATATTAAATAATATACACTGATTTGAGTTATTTTTACCAAAGATGTGTGGCAGAATATATTTTAATCTCAATTTATGAAGAAAGATTATTTATTTGCAAAATCTTATAACAGAAACTAAGAAAACATGTTTTTTTTTCAAAATGGTATTTTTCATTTTTATATAATTGTTATGTAATTTTTATTGTGACAGCACTGAAAACTTAAAAATGACCTGGGTAGGAAGGGGGTGAAAGTGTCCTGTATTGAGTGGTTAGTTATTCTATGGTAATGGGAACATGTAACAAATGTAAAGTGGGCATTATCCCAATTTGGCTGCAAAAGTGGAAATACATTTTTTTCTTCACCTTCTAGTGAATCAAATATGCAGCAGCACAGTTCAGCATTTTCAGACATTACTTACATTTTCAGGTTCTATGCACACTAGTGTTTTTTTTAAGCTAAAAAAAGTGAATAAAACGCTGGATAAAAAACACTGGTAATAGTGTTTTTAGTAGCATTTTAGTAGCGTTTTTACAGTACATGTAGGGGAAAAAAAGCTGTTAGGAGCATTTTAGTACCGTTTAGGAGCGTTCAGGTTTTTTTTTCTGCCAGAAAAACGCTCCCAAAAACTCTACAAAAAACTTTTTTTTCCTGCTCCTAAATGCTAAAGCTTGAAAAATGCTACCAGTAGCCTAAAATAGTGTGTAAGGACACAATTACTATTAGCTTCTAGGAACAGAAAAATGCTTATAACAGTTTTTAGGAGCTTAAAAAAATGCTAGTGTGCTTGGAGCCTTTGGAGTTTTAAATCTTGTACCTTTGAATATACACTATATTGCCAAAAGCATTGGGACGCCTGCCTTTAAACACACATGAACTTTAACGGCATCCCAGTCTTAGTCTGTAGGGTTCAATATTGAGTTAGCCCACCCTTTGCAGCTATAACAGCTTCAACTCTTCTGGTAAGGCTGTCTACAAGGTTTAGGAGAGTGTCTATGGGAATGTTTGACCAATTCTTCCAGAAGTGCATTTGTGAGGTCAGGCACTGATTGTCGGACGAGAAGGCCTGGCTCTCAGTCTCTTCATCCCAAAGGTGTTCTATCTGATTTAGGTCAGGGGACATCCCCAAGTTGTTCCCACAAAGTTGGGAGCATGAAATTGTCCAAAATGTCCTGGTATGATGATGCCTTAAGAGTTCCCTTCACTTGAACTAAGGGGCCAAGCCCAACTCCTAACAAACAACCCCACACCATAATCCCCCCTCCACCAAACTTTACACTTGGCACAATGAAGTCAGGCAAATACCATTCTCCTGCCAACCGCCAAACCCAGACACATCCATCAGTTTGCCAGACAGAAAAGTGTGGTTCATCACTCCAGAGAACACATCTCCACTGCATGTGACGCTTTGCATCGAACTTGGTGATGTAAGGCTTGGATGCAGCTGCTCAGCCATGGAAACCCATTCCACGAAGCTCTCTACACATTGTTGTTGTGTTAATCTGAAGGCCACACAAAGGTGTCCGTTTATGACACAGAGAATAGCTGCGATTCAACAGATCTCAGCTATTCTCTGGTCATTCACAGTTTATGACACTCAGGAGATCATGTCAGCCCTTCTCTGGAGATCTGTGTTCTCCCTCCAGATTCTCCAGCCCAGAGCTGGAGAATCGGAGGGACCGAAAACTAAGCAGAGATAATTTACCTCTGTTTAGTAAACTGATCTTTTACTGTAATCTTGCGAGATTATAGTAAAATGAGCCGTTTTCCAGAGTTTGTAGACCGTTCTCCAGCGTTTGGAGACCGTTCTCCCTTCGTTCGGAGAACTGCTTCATAAACTGCATTCACAGGAGAACTGTGTTCTCCGAGAATGCCAGAGAACTGAGCAGCGATCTATTACCGCTGGTTCACAAACGGACACCAAAGTTTGGAGGTTTTTAGCTATTGACTCTGCAGACAGTTGGCGACTTCTGCGCCCTGTGTGCTTCATCATGCTCTGACCCCGTTCTGTCATTTTACTTGGCCTACCACTTCGTGGCTGAGATGCTGTTGTTCCCAGTTCCATGTTGTTATAATACCACTAACAGTTGACTGTGGAATATTTAGTAGGAAGGAAATTTCATGGATGGACTTATTGCACAGGTGGCAACCTATCACGGTACCACACTTTAATACACTGAGCTCCTCAGAGAGACCCGTTCTTTCACAAATGTTTGTAGAAGCAGTCTTCATACCTGGATGCTTTATTTTATTCACCTGTGGCCATGGAGGCGATTGAAACACCTGAAATCAATGATTTGGAGGGGTGTCCCAATACTTTTGGCAATACAGCGTAAGGCAGGCCATACATGGGTCGAATTTTTTTTGGAATCAGACATTTTTTTGTGCATTTTTTGTAATCTGATGGTGCCAACATTGATGTAGTAATACGACCAACCAAGCCTTCAATTTCACGTTGCTACAGAAAATAATTTTCATGACTGGGAATCTTCTTTTCTTTCCATGTCACAACTCATGCTCATTTCTTTTTTTCGATTTTATTTCTCGCATGATTCTCCCAACAATGATTATAAATTTATTTGTTTTTTCCAAAAATTTCCAACATGCACGATTACTCAAATTCGATGGCTGCATGAAAATTGTCCGATGCTGCTGTCCACTAATGGAAATTCTTAGTTACGATTTTCCAAAGAAAATTCTTTAGGAATTTGACCCATGTATGGCATGCATAAGTCAGCAGTAGCAGCTTCCATATTTATTTCCTTATATGTTTATATTGAGGATGACATAGGAAGTGTAACTGGGTCTTTTCTGTATGATTACTGGTATTCTGCTACATACATTGCAATTTCACTCGATAGGGCTTATTTGTAAATGTTTACAGACATTTTTAAACAAGGATTTTATCCAATGATTCTCACCTTTTTTTAGCTGAATCCACTTACAAACATGGGAGAAAGCTGTGGAAATCTTGTGATAAAAATTATAAATGGACCCCCTACATATACCTTTAAGGGGCTGTTTACAGTGGCTCAAGCTATAAAACACATACTATGTGGGCAGCTGTCATTTGAGGTCTTGTAAGGGGTGGTTTATTCCCTGTTTAAGTGAATCATGCCTGGTACTTTTTCTTCCAACTTTATTGAAATGTCAAAATTACAACTAGTTCATTGCTATGTGCTGCAGCTCAGCTGCGTTCCATAGAAACAGACAGTACACCTTTTACAGTACCCCGATTCATTGCGGGAAAAATGCATACAGTATGCATTTATCAGCACCGCACTGCTCGGCACCCAGGGGCTCTGCTGCAGTATGAACAAGGTACATAGAAAACAGTTGTTTTCTGTGTTCCCTTGCAGTGACAGGCATTGATCTGATGCAGAGAAGTGCTAGTCACTATACGTAGTGTGAACGAGCCCTAAAATTGGAAAAACTGGCTAAAAACGTTCTGAAAAACAGATTTAAATAATTAGCAAAAGAGGCATTTCTAAATAAAGCACTAGTTGATATGAGCATTCTATATAAGTTTTTAAATCATTTTTAACTTTTGCTTATTAAAATAATTTTGTGATAAATGAATAGAAAATAATTATACAAAATATGCAAATAGACCTACTTATCAAATGGCCATGTAGTGAGATAAGTATTGGATTTTGTCAGTTTTCTGAATTGTTGAGGATCATGAGAACACAATTCGTGGTGTTAAATATTTAAAGAACACAAGCACTGTAATACAAATTTATAGATAACACTGAAATAGATAATGAATAGCAGTCTCTGATAGAAGAAAGCAGCTGCAGATAGCGCCATCTAGAGACACAGAGAGGAAATGTAATTAAAGATGTCACCTTTTTTAGCAATATATTTTGCATATAAAATTAATGTGTACTATATATTTAGGTTAAATTTTAATGTTTAAAAGTTTACTATTATGTTTGTAAAGGAGCATCGCAGGAAGTATGTTTTGGTTTTTTTCTGCCATGTAATCACTGCTGGGGTTGATAGTAAACTTAATTATCAAGAAAAAAAGAAAAGTGTGCAAAGTGCTGTAACCTATTGAAATCAGTAAGAAAAAATGGCTGCAGCAGCAAAAGAGTTATTTCATCACATATTTAAAAATCATGTGCAATTGCAGTACTGTTCATTGACCAATAAGATTTAATAATTTTTCAGTCAAAACAATGAAAGCCTTTATTTTTGCACACATTGAAATCCATGTTTTAGGCCTGAAGATCGCTTAAATATAGACACTATATACTCACTAGCCACTTTATTACGTACACCTGTTCAGTTGTTTAGTAATACAAATTGTTAATCAGCCAATCACATGGCAGCAACTCAATGCATTATGGTGTCCGTTTGTGAACCAGAGGTAATAGATCGCTGCTCAGTTCTCCGGCATTCTCGGAGAACAAAGTTCTCCTGTGAATGCAGTTTATGAAGCAGTTCTCCGAACGAAGGGAGAACGGTTTCCAAACGCTGGATAACGGTCTACAAACTGTGAAAAACGGCTCATTTTACTATAATCTCTCCAGATTATAGTAAAAGACCAGTTTACTAAGCAGAGGTAAATTATCTCTGCTTAGTTTTCGGTCCCTCTGATTCTCCAGCTCTGGGCTGGAGAATCTGGACGGAGAACACAGATCTCCAGAGAAGGGCTGACAGGATCTCCTGAGTGTTATAAACTGTGAATGACCAGAGAATAGCTGAGATCCGTTGAATCGCAGCTATTCTCTGGTTCACAAACGGACACCTTAGGCCATGTAGACGTCGTAAACAGGACTTGCTGAAGTTCAAACTGAGCATCAGAGTGGAGAAGAAAGGGGATTTAAGTGACTTTGAATGTGGCATGGTTGTTGGTGCCAGACAGGCTAGTCTGAGTATTTCAAAAACTGCTTATCTACTGGGATTTTTACGCACAACCATCTCTAGGGATTACAGAGAATAGTCTGAAAAAGAAAATATCCAGTGAGCGGCAGTTGTGGGGACAAAAAGGTCAGAGGAGAATGGGCAGACTGGTTGCTGCGACATTCAGATGGTAGGGTCAGAATTTGGTATAAAAAACATGAAAGCATCGATCCATCCTGCCTTGGATCAACAGTTCAGGCTGCTGGTGGTGGTGTATTGGTGTGGGGCATATTTTCTTGGCACTAGCAAGGTGTACCTAATAAAGTGGCTGATGAGTGTATATTTTCTAAAAGTGGAGACCCTGGAAAATAAAATGCTGGCAGTTGCAAATTTTATGTCACAGCACAACTGTTTATCAAATGCAAAGTTGCAGTAAAAATTACACTTAAATTAATTTTAGAGAACACAAACACAATATAATACTTATCTTTTTGATAAAACATAAAAGATGAGGTTACACTGAGAAATAGATAGCAAAAATGCCCAGCATTAAATTTGTGTATGTCCATAAAATGGCAAAAAAAAAACTACTTGTACATAGATAACATTTTAAACGTTTTTACAGCTCATCATTTTAGAGTTAACAATAAATAATGTCCCTAAAATTATTGCTTGCACTCTGACCTATATGGTGATACAATTGTCATTTTTTTGTACATATTGATGCATAGGGTTATGTGTGTATAAATGTGGGGGCAGTGGAACTTAAATTTTTGGGGGTGTTTATATTGCATTTACCAAGTGGTTTACTGGAGTTACGGCTGAATAGATATCTTTTTTTTTTAGTCAGCGGCCAGCCTTCTGATGAAAGCGGTCTGAGTGGCTCATTTGCCACTGGATCTCTTTCAGTAGCAGCGGGAGGGGACCATTGAAGGAAATGTAAGCATTGCAGACTTTAGTTCCGCTTTGAGGGAAGTTTAAAAATAACAGATCGTTGGCTGGATCATCAGATAAAAATAAGGGAAAAGAGCCTATAAAAGAACTTTCTTTCCACATCTAACTATTAATAAACTGTATTATATTACATTCTTGTTTTTGGGTTTAATACCATTTTAACGTTATTGCATACAATAGCATTAACACTTTAATCCCTCTCCACTGTATTCAAAACTAAAGAAAAAAAAAAATTTGTCTATAGTTATACTTTAAAACAGTAGTAAACCACCAGAAAAAAAAAACACCACAATGGGCCCCTGCAGCTTTAGGTCATAATGTACTAGTATGCACCACACACTAGTACATTATGACAGAATTACCTTTACACAGAGCCTTCCAGCACAGCACTGTCATGGCTCCCTGGTGCTGCCATGTTCTTCCAGTCTTCCTTCCAGGTTCGGGGGCTTCGGCTGTTTGAATGACCGGAGCCACAATGATGTCACTCATGCGCATGTGCATGGGAGCCCTCGGCTGTGGTGCGTGCTCTGAAGGTTCAGCATGGCTATGCCGTTCCTTCAGAGTGCATGCACCAGTGACATCACCGGCTGCATGCTGTGTGAATATTTCCTAAACAGTGCAAGTTTAGGAAATATTCATAGTACCTACAGTTAGGCCTTATTATAGGCTTACCTGTAGGTACAACTTAAACAAAAGACCTTTTTTTTTTTCGTATTAACAACTTTTATTGATTTTTCACACACACATATATATATATATATATATACATATATAATATATATATACACACATAACAAAATAGAAAGAAGAAGCAAGAAGCACATTGATGGTAAAATCTGCATGGTTACAAACATAATGTCACATAGCTACAGTGGGGAGGCTATCAGAACAGCACAGTTGTAGAAAGGTGGGAAGGGCAGAGATTACCCCATGGGTGCCACACTGCCTCGAACACAGCTTTCGAACCGGAATGTATAGCCGTCAGGTATTCCATCTGTCGTACATCAGCAATAATTTTAAACAAAGTTGACATCGAAGGCGGTATAGCGGATAACCAGCACATAGGAATGCTTCTTCTGGCCGCAGTCAAAATATGTGTGGAGAGTTTCCTGGACATCTTGGGAAGACCTGGGAATGGCAATCCCAATAAAAAGTATAGGGGCTCAAAGGGGAGAGAGGTATGCAATAACAATTGTAAAAAAGACAAAACCTCCTCCCAAAAAGGGACAATGGATCCACAAGTCCAAAAAATGTGGAAGAGGGAGCCAAAGTCTTTCCCACAACGACAGCAGGCAGAAGAAGCACTCGGGTTAAAAGCATGAATAACCTCAGGGATTTTGTACCATAACATCAGAATTTTGTATGTATTTTCTTTATAAACCACACAGACAGAAGATTTAGATGCGTTTTCCCAAATTTTCTTCCACTGTGTTAGA